AGCCGTTGACCCTGCTGGCCCAGAGGAGGCAGCCGCAGTTGCGGCCCCCGCATCGCCGCCACCCGTTTGCAGCGGAGGCAGCCGCAGTTGCGGCCCCTCCAGCGCCGCCGCTGGTCGACGCGGAGGAGGCCCCTGCAGGAGAAGGAACGAGCGCCGCTGCTCCAGTTGCAGAGCGCCTGCCGCCGGCGCCCCCTTTGCCAGCGGAGCGGCGCGAGTCTGACGCGCAGTTCTTCCCCGGTCCTGACCCGACGGCAGCGGCCGCAGTAGCGGCGCCGAGCGCGGCGCCCTTGCGCCCGCGAGTCCCCGCGGCCCCCTTGGCGCCAGAGAAGGGGGGGCCTGCGGTGGCGGCTCTGAAGCTGGAGGCCGCAGTCGCGGCGAGAGCTCCAGACGAAGGCGGCGGCGTTGCGGGGGATCTTGAAAGAGGACCCCTACATTGGGCGCCCTGGATTTCCCCGGTTCGCCGCGCGCTTCAAGCGTCGCCCATTCGCGTGGGAAGGTGGGGGTCGCACGGGTCTGTTCGAATTCTACACGCCGTGGGCAGTGGGGCGTTTCTCCGAATTGTGCGCGGCGGGCGGCGCGTCGTGCGCACTCTGCCACGATGCTGCTCTATTTGGCGATGAGTTCACGGCGCAGGAGCTGCTGCCAGTCACCGAGGAACGCCCGCTTCATGAAGTTCGCCACTGGGTGGCCGGAGTTGCGGCGGGCATCGCGCTGCGCAGAGGCGTGGGCCCGCTGGGCAATTTCTGCGGCCCTCTGGAACGCTTCGCTCTGGGAACCGCATGCGACGGGAATTGCGGCATAAATGTGATGATGCTCGAGAAGCCCAACGATGAGCAGACGCGCGCGTGGGTCCGCGAGGAACTCTTACGAATTCGGAATTGGGCGCTGGAGTGGGCCGCGGCAACACGACATGCTGGTTACGACGCAGGAGTTGACCCTGGAAGAGGTGAGGGCATGCCGCAGTGGCGGCCACGACGGCCCGCCCATGCAAATCTTTCTGCTAGACGACGACTGCGGGGCAGGCGGGGCACCGGAACCCGGCGCGGATCCGTCCGCGGCAAGCGCCGCTCTTCTGGGGGCCTTGACGAAGCAAAGGGGGGTGGAAGACGAGGGTGCTTTGATGGCCATCGCGGGCGCGATGCCAGAGGCTTTGCAAGGCGGACAGATCAGGGCGCACGAGGCGTTTCAGCCGCAGCCAAAAGACGCATTCGTCAAGAAGATGGCGCGCCCCGGGATGCTCGCAGACCGCAGCGCGGTCTGCAGAGAACTCGAGAAGCACGCCCGCGGCGATGTTTGGATGGGCGATGGTCGGCTTCCGCGCGGCATGCCCCAGAGCTCTTGCGAAAAGTTCGCGCGGCCGCCGGGCGCGGCAGAAGCGAGGCAGACAGAGGCCGTCACAAGGTGGCGGCGTCGTTGGAAAATGTTTTCTGGAGCCGCAGCCGCGGTGGGCACTGGAAACAGGCGGCGCGCGCGCGGCGGTGGGCGCCGCGCAGTGCGTCCATGTTTGGAAGTCACTCTGTGCGAATGGTGGCCCCACATGAGGTCCACGGTGGACTGGAAGGCCGACGTCGCAGCGGCTGGGGCTCAGGAGTGCAAGAGTGGGCACCCCGCAGATTCAAAACCCGACAGAGAGAGCTGCACGTCGACATCTGGAAGGGTTTCCAAGGACAGGCACGTAACGGAGCGCATCTCCCATTGCTGGTGTTCACACGCAACCGGCCCCGCAGGTCGCCAGAGAGACAAGCGGAGAGGCTCATGAACCGGCACCACAAGCAAGAGAGGAATAAGGGCGACGACAGAGGCGACAAAGCGGAGGGCGGCTATCAGAAGGGGGGCCAGCGCGGCAACCAGCTCAAGGGCGACCAGCCCAAGGGCGACCAAGGCAAGGGCAAGGGCGGCCATGGCTGGGGCCACCGCGGCGACATGGGCAAGGGCGACCATGAGCGACCACCTCTCCAAGCGCCAGCTCGCGGCCCTGATGCCGCGGCGGCGGCTCGCGAGGAGCGCCCCGGCAGCTGGCCAGGGAGCAGCTGGCAGGACTGGGGGTCACGGGATCCGAAATTGCCCCGGGGCCCTTGAGATTCCTGGGGCGCGGGATGGGGCCCCAGGTGGTCGCGAGACCAGGGCGCCGCAGTCGCGGCTGATGCGCCGCCTGCAGTTGAGACTGAGACGCCGCAGTCACGGCCTGGCGACCGCGAGCAGGCGGCCGACGACAGCGCATGGGCCCCGTCGGGCCCCTCGGCCGCGGCGCGTGCTCAGCCGCCCGTTCCGCTGGGCGCCGCGCGCCTCCCTGATGCCGCAGCTGTGGCATCGCAGCGAACAACATCGACATCGTCGCTATCGTATCTCAACATTCGCGTGCTTTAAAACAAACCCCGGGGATTGTTTTCCTTCATTTTCTAAGATTCGAAACCGCGCCACTGGATCAACCTGTAGTTGAAAAGTAATTGAAATTTGGAGGGGGTCCGAACCCTCGCCCCTTACCCCCCTTCAATAGGATGGTGAGATTTTCGACCCCCCCCCCCTCCTCCCCTTGGCGCTGGAAATGGGGCGCGGGGGGTTCGACCCCCCCCCCCCCCCCTTGCGCCGAACAGGGTGCCGGGGAGTGGGCCTCTCCCGCAAGCGGGTGGGTCTGGCCTCGGGATAGCGAGTAGTGAGTAGTGAGTAGGTAGAAGTGAGTAGTGAATAGTGAGTAGTGAGTAGATTGTGGCGAGGTGTGAGGAGTGAGGACTGAGTAGTGAGTAGTGCGCTGTGAGTAGTGAGTGGTGAACAGTGGGTGGTGGGTAGTGAGTGGCGAGTAGCGAGTAGGGAGTAGCGCGTAGTGACTAGTAGAGTCGCGAATAAGGCACTGTGAGTAGTGAGTAGTGAGGAGGGAGTAGTCAGTAGTGAGTAGCGAGTAGTGAGTAGCGAGTAGGGAGTAGTGAGTAGTGAGTAGGGAGTAGTGAGTAGGGAGTAGGGAGTAGTGAGTGGGGAGAAGTGAGAAGTGGGTTTTTAGTATTGGGCAGTGGGTAGTGCGTATGGAGTAGCGAGTAATGAGTAGTGGGTAGTTAGTAATGAGTCGTGAGTTGTGAGTAGTGAGTATTGAATAGTGAGTAGTGAGTAGCGACTTGGGACTAGTGACTAGTGTTTAGACAGTAGGGGGTAGTGGGTAGTGAGTGGTGAGCAGTGCGTAGTGTGTAGTGAATATTGTGTGGTGAGTAGTGAGTAGTGCGTAGTGGGTATTGAGTCGTGGGTAGTGAGTAGTGAATACTGAATAGTCAGTAGTGAGTAGCGCAGCGACTTGTGACTAGTGACTAGTGGGTAGCGAGTAGGAAGTTGCGAGTAGTGAGTAGTGAGCAGTAGGTACTGTGTAGGGAGGAGGGAGTAGAGAGTAGCGAGCAGCGGATAGTGAGTAGTGAGTTGTGGGCAGTCAGTAGTGAGTAGTGAACTGGGAGTATTCAGTAGTGAGTAGTGGATAGTGGTTAGTGGGTTCTGAGTAGTGCTTAGTGAGTAGTGAGTAGTGGCCAGTGGGTAGTGAGTACTGAATACTGGGTGGTGAGTAGTGATTTCGAGGTAGTGAGTAGGGAGTAGTGAGTAGTGAGTACTGGGTGCGTAGTGCGTAAGGAGTAGTGGGGAGTGAGTGGTGCGTATTGGGTAGCGAGTCGGGTAGTGCGTGGTGAGTAGTGAGTACTGTGCAGCGAGTAGGGAGTAGCGAGTTTTGGATAGTGAGTAGTGAGTTGTGGGCAGTGAGCAGTGAGTAATGAAGTGTGAGTAGTGAGTAGTGGATAGTGGTTAGTGGGTAGCCAGTATTGATGTGTGATTTGTGCGTCCTGGGTATTTGTGTTTAGTGGGTAGTGAGTAGTGAGCATGGAGTAGTGGATAGTGTGTAGTGAGTATTGAATACTGAATAGGGAGTAGTGAGTCGTGGGTAGTGGGTCGTGAGTAGTGGGTAGTGAGTCGTGAGTAGTGAGTAGTGAAAAGTGAAAAGTGAGTAGTGAGTAGCGAGTAGTCAGTAGTGGATTGTGGGTAATGCGTAATGCGTAATGAGTAGTGAGTACTGTTTGGGGCTACAGGGGGCGGAACCCGAACCTCCACCTTTTGGGAAGGGGGGGGGGAGGGGGGGGGGTCCCCGACGACGGATCGGTAACGGGGGGGACGGGGGGGGGGTCCCCGACGACGGTTGGGAAAAGGGGGTGGGGTCCCCGACGACGGATCTGGGAAGGGGGGGGGGGGTCCCTCCCCCCTTTGGGGAGATCCAGCGGCGCACCCTCCTAAGTTTCGTTATTTCCGCTTTTGGATTACCAGACGAGACGAAACAAGACACGACAGCCTCACCGTCGGTCCTAGATGTCTCCAAGCTGCCCCCAGGGACGTCCTGGGGCATTGTGGAAGAGGGGGGCGGTCGCGACTTTGATCGTGCGACGCGGGCATGGCCCCGCGGGCAGGTCCCCGCGAGCTCGCGTCGCGCGCGGGGCCGTGTCCGGGGTCGCGGGTCCATGTTTAACGTGGGTGAGGCAAAACGGGCCTTCGGGCTGGGTTGCGGTAGTTTGGTAGGTCGTCAAGGACGGTCTCGAGACGGCTTCGGAAGCCGCCACGACGCCTCATGACCGCCCGCAGCGGAAACACATGCAGTCCCCAGGATGCAATAATTATCTCGTCAGCAGTCACTTGCATGCTGTTGCCGTTCTCGTCTTCTCGGTCTTCAAGCGTTCAGGCGGCCCCAGAGGCCCCAAACATCGCCTCACGACGGCCCCGTAGGCTCGAGCAGCGTAGGCCTGAGCGGCTCATCTCTCGTTTCAGCTCCGCGGTTTGCACGTTCCCGTCAGCCGTCCAGCGGCGTGCCCGATCGCCATCCTGCCGATCCGCTCGCTGGCAGAAATTCGATGGCGATCGCTCGCACGCCCCATGCGCCTGCCCGTGGGGACACTCGGCCGCTGGTACAGGGCCGGCCCATGTGGCGGCAGCGCTGTGCCGAGCCGGAGGCCGAGCCCGACACCCTGCCAGAGGTGACGAGTAGGCTCCTTGGCAAGCTGGACGACCGCTCCCTGGAGAAGCTCGCCGCCCGCGTGGTCCTGCTGGGGCTCGCGGGGCCGCCAGGGCCGGAGGTGGTGGCCGCGCGGGGGCGGCCAGAGGCGGAGCCGCCGCCGCCGGGTGGGCGGGCGCCGCAGGTGCCCGGCCGAGGCGCGCAGGCACGGGCGGCGGACGGCGCCCGGGCAGCGGCCGCGCGGGAGGCGGCGCTGGCGGCGAGGGCGGCGCGGGCGGCGTGGGCGGCGCGGGCGGCGCAGCTGCGGTGGGCCCTGTGGGCGGGGCGCGCGGGGCAGGCCTGGCAGTCGGCGCGGGAGGGGCCCGGGGAGGGCGTGGACGAGCGCCCGGGCCATGCGGCCGCGAGGGCAAGCGAGGAGCAAGAAGCGGCAGAAGCATGCTTTCTCGGAGGTCCGCGCTGATTTCTTGGGTCGGCGTCGGGGCCCCCCTGGCGCGCCCCGCGCGCCAGGGAGGGGGGTCCAGCGCCGTTCCAGGAAATCCGAGCAGATCCCGGGAAACATTGAGCGTCTGCCGTTTTTTGTTCACCTAGGCAAGCGAGGCTTGCGCCACCACCCTCGTTCTACGCAGCTTTGGCCCGTCCTGCAGCCAGCAGGCCATGGCGGCGTGGCTGGACGAGCAGGGGTACCGCGGCACGTACGATGTTGTCCACGTGTCGCTCCCATGTGTCGTCATCAACTTCGCCAGTCCGCTGTTCGCGCAGACGTTCATGCGCGAGATGAGCGCCGTGCTGAGCGTATCGTACTCCAGCATCCAGGGCTCCCGTGCGCTCCGCGAGCACCTCGCCCTCCATTAGAACAACGGGCGGCGCGCGGGCAGAGCGCGCGGCCGCCCTGTGATGGAGGGGGCTGTGGAGAGTGAGGGAGGGGGGGAAGCTCGGGATTCGTCACGCCCTGCCGCAAGCGTATCATTGCTGGGCCGCCAGGGGAGGAGACGGGGAGAGCCGGGAGAGGGAGGGGATCCCATATTTCTGTCGTCGCAGAACAATCGCGTCACACGTAGTTGTTCTTTGCTCTTGCAAGCTCGGCCTCCAGGAGCAGGTCTCGGGCCCTCGCGATGCGGTCGATAAGCAGCTACGGGGCAAACGGCAAGCGCCGCGAGCTGACACGCGACGTCGGAGGTCTGTGGAGAGGGAACGGAAGGCGAGGCGCCAGGCAAGTTTTGCTGCAAGAGGTGCGGTGCTTCCGCCGCCTACTTGCTGGCTCGGCCTCGACCGGTGGAGCTGGCTGGCTGGGCGGGCCGGGGGGTCGAGCCCCGCAACTAAGACCGGGACCCCACGGACGGGGTTCGCCAACATAATGATGTGTTGGACAGGTCGAGGAGGCGGACTTGCATTTTTCTGACTTTTCGGACTGGAGGGTCTGCTTCCCCCTCCGCAGCGGCGAGTCATTTTCCTCGTTGGGGATCTGGAGGCATGGAGCGTTGAGCTCAAAAACGCAGATGTTCCAGCATCGTTGGCTATCCCTCAGGCCGCCCACGTAATTATGGGGCACGCCTTTCGACGGGCGATGATGCGACTGCGGATGATGATCAGTCGACGCAGTGCGCCAGGCCACTAGTCAGTTTCATTGCGTCTCAATGTGGTCCCACCGTCACTGCTTTGAGTTTGTGTCTTGCCGACGCACATCGGACATCGGCCGCCAGGGATAAGAGAAACAAACACATCGCCTCAGGACGGCCCCACATAGCCCCAAGCGGACCCCCAAGACGGCCTCCAGACTAGCCCAACAGGCCCCACCCCCAAAGGTGGACGAAGCGATCTTCAAGACGGCCTCAGAGGACCCCAAAACGGCCTCAAGACGATTCCAAGCTCCCATAAGATTGCGAAGACCTTACGGCCCGTGCCGCCGACCCTGAAGGGAGACGACGATGACAACGGCGGCGGCGACGACGACGCTGGCGTGGGCCAGAGACCTCAGGGATGCTTCTTGTGGTCTCTTCGGAAGGCTCTCAGGGGCCTCTGGGGAGGAATGTTGGGGCCTCTCGGGGGCCTCTTTGGAGCCTCTTGAAGGCCCTTCGGGCTTCCGCCTCTTGGAGCCTCTTGGGAACCTCTTGGGGCCTCCTGGGAGCCTCTCGAGGCCGAGGGCTCGAAAGGTCCGTTCGGGTCCCCGGTCCGGACACGCTCTTGGAGCCGTCTTGGGGACATCTTGGGCCGCCTTGGAGACGTTTTGGGCTGTCTTGGGGTCCTCTTGGGCTGTTTCGGGGATCTCTTGAAGTCCTCTTGGGCCGTCTTGGGGCGAATTTGGGGGCCTCTTGCGCTGTTTTGGAGCGGCGGGAAGTGGAACAGGCGAGAACGCCCAAATCTTTCGCATCGATCCCGCCCGAAGAGTGGCTCCGGGAGGTGGGGGGCGTGGCTCCGGTCGGGACTTTTCGCGACGTTGCAATGTTTTCGCTGCGTCAGGGGAGTGAGGGGCCCACAGGCACGGCCAGGGAGAGCAGCCCGGAGGCTGTCGGTGTAGCGTCTTTTCCTGCGCGCTTCACTCTGGCGCTGGGCCGTTCGTCGGGTTGTTGGCTTATGGGTGGAGAAACCACCACGACCCCGATGACTGGCGTTTGCCGAGCGGCCCTGGGCGTTTACTAAGCAGCCCTGCCCTGTTCGATTCCTTCCTTGCGTGCGTTTGCTTCACGGCTTCGCTTGTCGGGGTGTTTCTTATGAGGGTGGACATGTTGGTCTCTAGTTGCGCTCTCTCTGCTCCCCGGCAGAAGGATCAATGATGGTGGCAGTGGGAGTGCAGCAGCGGCGCCCTGCGCACGAGTTGCTGAGGCCCCAGCCACCCCGTACACGCCTTCCGCGCGCTCCCTTGTAAATCCTAGGCCCACAGTAGTTAGGCCCAGGGTTTGGAGGTGACCACGCGGTGAATGCGCCTCCATCGCCGCCTGGGCCCCTCTTTCCAGACCTGACCTCCTGGACATACACAAGGCTTACGCTTGGTTCCACACCAAGCTTTCGCGAGAGGCCTAGCGCGGCTTGATGCGAAATGATTTGCACCACCACAGCGAGGGCGGATGATGAGGAGGAGGAATCATCGGAGGACGACGAGGAGGACTGGCACGAGGACGAGAAGGAGCAATGGGAGGAGGATGAGGTCGGCAACGACGACCCGCGCGAAACCGCTGCCGTTTGAGCACCATCACGGTGCGCATGGGTCATGCTTGATGTGTCGCCCGCCGCCAAGGCAAGCCACCGCACAGCGGAGCACCTCCTGGGCTTCACGATTTGTAGGCTCAGGGAGGGCGCCGGCTGGGTGGGGCGGCCATGGATTCTCTGCCCCCCTCTGCGCCGAGGCACGGGCATCTATGGCATGGACTTCTACGTGCATCTCTCGCGCCCAGGCAACCGGGTGATGTTCAGGAAGTTGAAGCGCGGCAAGGTTGGCTTCGCTCACCGATTGAAGAAGGACCAGCTCTCGTGTTCGGCAGTCAAAGGCTGGACCATAGTCGACGTTCTCGCTCGGCCGGGGCGAAGGGGAAGTATGTAAGAGCGCTGATCACAGCAGCATCTTAGTAAGGAGCCCATGCTAGGTAATTCTATGACTAGACGATATTATATAATCGCTTCGCTCATTCCGCCGGCCCTGGAGCCTTCTTTAGGGCCTCTTAAGGGCCTCTTGAGGACCTCTTGGGAGTCTCTTGGGGCTCCTTGGCGGCGTCTTGGGGGCCCCCAGGGCCTCTTGGGGGGCTCTTGGGGGCCTCTTGGGGCGGGAAGGGTGTGTAGTTGATTGCAGCTCCCCCGTCGGAGGCCACGATCCTCGTGAGGGGTGTTGAAGAATGGCCCTCGCTTGGAGCGCTCTGGGGACCTGACCAGGACCTGGCCAGGGTACTCTTCGTAGGGGCCGCTCCGCGCGCGCGAACTAGAAATATTGCTAACCATTTACCAGAGATCTCAGGACGCCTCTGGCCCGTTGGGCCGTCGAATTCTGGAGAGGGTTCGACACGCGAGGGTTCGTGACAAGAGGGCCTCCTCGCGAATTGCAAGGGCGTATTCATGTACGTGGTTTGGTGCGTGCGTCTTTCTGGGGCTCTCGATCCAGTCTGGTCCGGTCCGAACCGCTGGCAAGGGCTCCAGCCGCCAAGGAACGCGGACTGGAGGGCCAAGGCCCTTCAGACCCGGACGCCGGGCCCATAGGTTTTTTCCCCAACCATCCTGTGGTGTCGGGTCCTCGTTTTGAAGAGACAGCACCCCGCGCTCACTCCCTCAATTTCCTCCTCCCCCTTCTCCATCCTCCCTCCTGCCACATCGCCTGTGCCCTCCGCATATCTCTGTTTCGGCACCTCTCATACGTTTCGTGGCCCAATAGGGAGCTCCACCGAAGGCCCCAGCGGCAGGGCCCGTATGCGTTCCCCCGCCCATTTCGGCACACCCCTCGCGAGGACCGTGGCCCCATAGGCGGCGAAGGCCCCATTGGCAGGGTCCGCGTGCATCCCCCCCGTTTCGGCACACCCCTCACTAGGAGCGTGGCCCCAAAGGGAGCCCCACGTGCAGAAGGCCCCAGTGGCAGGGTTCGCAGGCGTCTCCCCGCCCATTCTGGAACACCCCTCACGGTGATCGTCGTCCCGCAGGGGGCTCCCCCGACGACTCCAGTGGCAGGGTCCGCATGCGTCCCCCCGCCTATTCCGGCACATTCCTCACGAGGATCGTGATCCTTTTGGGAGCTCCACCGAAGGCCCTAGCGGCAGGGTCCGCATGCGCCCCCCCGCCCGTTTCAGCACACCCCCTCACGAGGATCGTTGCCCCGTAGGGAGCTGGACCGAAGGCCCCAGCGGCAGGGTCCGCATGCGTCCCCCCGCTCATTTCGGCACACCCCTCACGGTGATCGTGCCCTATAGGCCTATAGGGAGCTCCACCGACGGCCCCAGTGGCAGGGCCCGCATGCGTCCCCCCGCCCATTTCGGCACACCCCTCGCAGTGGTCGTTGCCTTATAGGGAGTTCCACCGAAGGCCCAGTAGCAGGGTCCGCATGCGTCCCTCTTCCCATTTCGGCACACCCTCTACGAGGATCGTGGCCCCATAAGGAGTTCCATCGAAGGCCCCAGCGGCATGGTCCGCAGGTGTCCCCCCGCCTATTTCGGCACACACCTCACGAAGGTCGTGGCCACACAGGGAGCCCCGCCGAAAGCGGTACCCACAACGCGGCGTTCACAATTGCATATTGATGGGCCTTTCGCCAGGATGATTTTCTCTGGGCGCCCGTGACGAAGATCAGCGCCAATGCAGGATGACGATCGCGAAGGGCTCGGGGGGGCCCGTCACGCTGCAGCGCCCTGGGCGATGATTCATAAGTTGGGCTCCAGGCCTGCTCGTGAGCGTCGCCGTCATTGAAGTCTCCTCACAGCGTAGCCATCATTGAAGTCTCACATCATCTCACAATGAAGTTTCCCAGCGGCCGGCGACTATTCACCAAATCGTTCCCGCCCATGTCTTGAACGCTCTGACCGCTCGCGACCCTCCCTTCCCGTCTAGACCTTGGGAGAGGGTGTAGGGGGAAGGGGTCAAGACACCTCTCCCAGATGCGAACTGTTTAGCTCACTCCCACCTGCCCTCCCAACTATAGTAGCACCTGAGTCTCAGCATGTCTCCTAGGAGCGCCACGCACGCCATATGCGCCACGGCTTCCAAGTGCACCAGGCACCCCAGAGGCCCAAGCACGCCAGGCGCTACATGTGGGTAACATTCTCCACGTGGGCCAAGCGTGCCACGTCTTCCAGCCGCGCCAGCTGCGCCACGCGCGCGGCGCGCGCAGCGTGTGCCAGGTGCGCCACTGACATGCCGCCATCGGATGGACAGCTACGGGGAATCAATACGGATGGACAGATCATGAACTCTTTGTGCTCGGGACCCCCCCAGGTGCCCCGGGCCCCGAGCCCAAGGAGTTAATGATATTGGACTCCCCTGCAGCGGAGTGCCGAGCATTCTGTGAGGGGCGCGGCTCTTCCAGGGAGCGTAAAGCACTGGTACCGATGGACAGCACGTGACACATGAGAGCTCAAAGAAAAGAAGGGGATGCCGCCAGCAACCACAGTGATCGCGGGTGCATGCCCCAGATGTCTTCGCAAAGTGCAGTTTGTCTGGCGTCTTGACATGCATCGTTGGTTTGCGCGCAGCAGTCAATACGCTGGCACTCCCGCCGTCCCTGTCCAAAACGCCATGTAGCTAAGTGTATGGTGTATTGCTTTCTGCAGGGATGGTCGGCTCGCGCGCAGCAAGCCAAATGTCGTCCCCCCCGCTGCCCCAGTCAAAAACCACTGCGAAATGGTCGCGGGGCGCCCGCGCATGCATCAGCTTTGGAGGCAACGTGTACGTATTTTGTATTGTTACTTGACAGCGATAGTGGAGGGGGACTGGCATGAGTCCGGGTCGGCTGCAGGTCAACAGGGAGGGGGTGCTTACTAATAGGAAGCAGTGAAAAACCCTTCTCCGCAGGGAGGGGGTAGGATGGAAGAGAAAAGGGGTTAGACCACCTCCGCCCACAGGGCTAGCGGGATTTTTCACATCGTCCCCCCCAAGGATGCCCGCCTACCCGCGGCTCGTGTCGTGCGGAGGTGAACGTCGACATGGTTGCCCCGGTCACCCGCGTCGATGTCGATGTCGTCGGAGAGCTCGCCGCTGTGTCACTCGCTGGCCTTAGCCCCTCAGCCCACAGGGGTGTCTTCTCTCAATCCG